CGTTTGAACTTGTAACCAAACTGTATCATCTGAATTTTCAGGCACTGATTGGTCAAGCACAAATATCGACATATGAACTACCAGTATTCTGTCTCTGATATTGTACCTTTCCAGTTTTGAACTTATTGGACCAGAAGTAAAAATTGAAACTCTCTTTCTATTTTTTCTTACCAGTTTTCAGCATGCTTGACGATGAATTATCTCATAGCTGACTGAAAAAAAATATATATGAAAAATATGTTGGGGCATTAAAGGAATTATAAACTATTAAAACTGATGAACAGTTGAATGTTATGAGTCATCTAGAAAACCGTTGATAAGACGGAGATTCTTGCAAACATTAATCTGAAATTAAACGAAGAAGTAAACCTATCTGAAAAGTTGTTTAACGTTAAGGAAACATCATAAAAACAGTTCTGAATTGGAAATCGAATTATATGAGTGCTCAAAATAAGGCGACAAAAAATTTGCCTACAAAACATTTGTTGAATCATCGTTGATGTTTGCTCATTTGTTATTACCAATGTTAGCTTCCGCAGTGTTCGCCGTTCACTGTTTTCAACGTTAGTTTTAGGTGCCAGTATGGTGCTTTACAGCTATAATAATTAGCAATATTTCTGATCTGATATAAGCACCGAAAATAACCGCAGACCGTAGCAATTTTGGATTCCCCTATCAACTTTTTTTTTTTTTTTTTTTATATGAATAGGAATTAGTGTGGAATTAGCGACATTTTCATCACTACCCGACTTGTTTTCTATATATATGCTCGCAAAATTCGATTATTGAACCTGATAAAAGGAAAAAAGTATTTCTTTAATACTATTATGCAAACTGACTTTTAGTCGACAACGTTATATAACTCTAAACCACTGTACAATCGCTCTACCAAAGCTGATTCGGATCAATAACTGTAATCAATCGATAAAGCATTGTTTTACCATTCCTTTGTAACGCTACATTTTTTCAATCTATGTTCACATTCAGAGGAAACGAAACCTGTATTTATTTCTGTGTCTTCTTCCATTTTTTTTTTTTTTTGACTTTTCTGGAACAATCAAACTGTGGTGTATACACATTATGGAAATCAACCCAAAAAAGTTTATTTCGCCCTTTTCCTATTCTGAACCTATGTGTGCTTTCTTCCTTTTTTCTCTTTTCCTTTTATTTTTATATTTTTTTTGACTTAAAGGGAATTAATCGGCTGTTTTTAAAAGCTTCATTATTTTCTGTTTGGTGCTTTACAGTTTTTTATTCTTTTTTCCGTATCCACTCAGGAAGTTTTGATTAAATAACCAAACAGAAGTGATTAGACAGAACTGTTACTATATATGTAAACAGGGCTCAAGTAATCAGCACCACTTGACTTCTCGTTTTTATCTTCATAATAATCTATTGTGAAAAAATATCAAATTTTAAGAGCGGCTCTACTTATGGTCATAGATTCTGGACAGAAAATAACCAGACCGGCAATTTGAGGATGATGAATTCATTTCTGCAAAAAAAAAAAAAAAAAA